GTACCTAATTGAGACTAACCTAATTCAGTGTAATTAACACCTCTTACAAACTTGCAAAGTCTGTAAAGACTTTTGCATTCCAACATCATGCCCAGCTTTTCCTCTACTTATTTAACATACAGCCCGAAAGAGCATTCTGGAGCACTAAAAGACTTGCACAGTATTTTGTGAAATTTAGTTGGTCCAGATAAAGGTATTGTCCAACTGTGGCATTTGGATTTTTCTAATGGATGAACATGGCCACTTAATGATTTTTGTAATTATATCTAGCTGCATATTAGCTCTGCTGAGGATTTAAGGCATCACAGCTGATGAACTAAACATTAATCAGCATGACGCTATGGAACAAAATATTAGCACAGTTTTGGGTTGCAATGCCAAAAGAATCGGATTCAAGACAAAGGAATTAAGAGTCTCCTTCTACTTGTTTGGCACATGTAAGATATTGCTTGGAGAAACACCTTCTCCATATTAGAAGACAGATGCTTAAAAAAGTGGAAATAATCCAAAGGAAAGTAGTGGGAATGATTAAAGTTTTAGGAAAGAAGAGAAGCCAACAAAATTATTGATCTGTTCAGTGCTTCAGAACTGTCAGATCGAGTTGTAAAAGTACAATAATCTTTGAAGATAAATGCAGTCGTACATCAATACTATTGCCTGCATAGAAACCATAATTATAAGCTTTGCAGTGCAATCCTGTACATTTCTACTCAACAGAAAGTACCACTCAATTAAATGGTGCTTACTTGCAGGTAAGTTTACATAAGGTCGCAGTCTTAATGCAAAATTATGTGTTATCTACTCCCATTTTTTTATTCATTCTCAATACAACCCAAAATAGTTGTATTATAAATACACCAATCATGGCAGGAAGCAGCTGTTCCCAAGAGTGGACAAGTGTTTTGATTGATGATAGCAGGAAACAAGAAATTGTTAGATCTATATCAAAATACAGCTGCCTACCAAAACAAATGCCTGCTTTTTTAGCCAGTCAGTGGAAGGGAGGTCTCATTGGGTAAGTTATTTCTCATCTGGGCACGCTCACCAGTAAGGCCTTACCAATTATGTCTCAGCAACAGATGGGAATGGAAAATACCTCTCCAGTCAAGGAGCAGGCATGCTTAAATGCAAGGAAACAGTCCCTCGGGAACTCTGTATCCAAGCCATTTAGAGCTTTAAAGGTCATCACCAACACTTTGAATTGTGCCTGGAAATGAATCAGCAGTTAGTGTGGCTGCATTGGTACAGGTGTTACCATCATCCCATGGCAAGCATCCACTAAGATCCTTGTTGCAGTGTTCTGGGCCCCAAATGATATTTCTGATGACTTTCTAAAGGTAGTCCCCATTACAGCACATTGCAGCTATTCAGCTTGCATTACTGCAGATTATATGGGGAAGACATTGGAGCTAGAGGCACACAAACCCTGACATAAAGCTATTTATATTGGCACCATACATTGATCTCCAAGCATGTTAAAAATGGAGTCACATTTTGGCTGCTGCAATCCCCCCCCCAGCTCTTTTTTCAGGGCTGTGGTCTCATGCGAGTCTCATGACTCATGTTACGAGTGCAGCTCCGGAAGTTGGCGTTCTGGTTTTCCGTTGCGACATGTTGGAAGGCATGCATTTATAGCAAGCAACAGTTATAGCTTATATTAATTTAAGAATAAAGCAGATTTCTTTTGGAAATCAATATTGCAATATGACAGAACACACCAGAATTCCCAGCAGCAATTAGAAGGCTTTTGTGGGAGTGCATTGATGGGATTCTGCTTGCAAGATCATTAATGCAAAACCCCACCAGTAGTCTCAAGTCATATCATGCCGCCTTTTATATACTAGAAAACTGTGAGCAGGATTGTGATTGTGACTTTTCATCTAAGGTCATCTGAAATAAATGAGGGTTTGTTGACTGTCTTTGAAATCAAATATATTTTCATTTCCCTTTTCTTTTTTACTGCCAAGGATGCTCTGTGGTTTGGACAACATGCTGTATCAACAAAACCTTTATTACACTGGAGTTGCTACAATTCTAACACTGTTCCTCACATCCAGCATTCTGCTCAGCACTTGAGAGCTCTGCCTGGTTTCTGTGTTCATTGAAAATGAATGTGTACACAATGCAGTTGGTCCTGCTGATATGAATGTGGATAGTTGAATGCATCAGAGGTTCATTGTGCATCTAAGTTCCCAGAGATTTGTATGTGGCTGCAGTCCTACACACATACAGATTCCTTAAAAATTGATGGAGCACAGACATGTATAATTGCTTTTAGGATTGTAGCTTACAATTATTACACTTGGGTGTGTTTATGCCCGTTAGTCTCACGGCAGCATTACTATTGATAAAGCCATTTAGCAAACACCATTCAAGTAGATAAACTATGAAAAACACTAAACAAACCACCCAAATGCACAGCTGAAACACTGGCAACCTTGGCCTGGAACCATTGGCATAAGTGTGGGAAATTGCAGTCAAATGTAACTATGCGTGAGTGGGTTAAGACATAGAGCTGGATTATTAGACTCAGCTAGGTCACACACCTTCTTCTTTGATTAGGAAGAAAGTGAAGCCATCTCTATTCCCTCTCCCTTATGCCATGTAACTGACCAAGGAAGACATGCATGAGCAAGCTCCAAGCTTAGAACACATGTTTGAAGCTATCTTTCTGTATTTTGTACCAAAGAGTATTCTGCCTATGTTGCACTTGCTGCTGCTTGGATAAATACATAAATCTGACCCTTGGAACTTTTGTAAGTAAAGAATTTTAAAATTACTTAACAGTGTGTGGTCATTGCAAAGGGAGTAAAAAGAGTGGAGTGCTGTTTGCAAGTGGACTAAATGTGATTAAAGGGTCCAACAACCTATATTACTAACGATATACCGTTGCTTGACTTTTGTGAATTAAAACTCTGCTGCTGGGGGCTCTCTTCTGCTGGAAAGTGAGATTAGCCCTGCATTTTGAATCCAGGCGTGTGGCTTGTTTTTCGTTTTGTTTTTTTTGTTATTTACCCCACACGTGGGTCATAATGATTCATATTTCCCCCCCACAATAATAACATTGCACGTTTGGACTTGCTGGCACTAGCTGATACTTGATGAGAGAGTCACACAGATTAATTTTGGTCCAACTTTTGTAGTGGGAATCTGCTCTGATAAATTGTGCTAAAATTATTACCATGGGCTAGCATCTACATTGTAAGCTATGCATTTCAGTGCTAGAAGTGAACGGATGTATGTATAGATAGACAGAGATTTTAATATCTTGTCAGGATTGACACAATCTATGATTTCAAAATTAAACTGGAATCAGAAATTCTATAGGTCAAATTGTGATATATTACAAACTGTTACTTATTAATGGCATAATTGATGGCATTGAATATTAGGAAATAAATCTGTTGTTTAAAGGGAAAAATAGAATTCATTTTATTGTTGTAGTAGAAATTGTGAAAAAAGTAAAGAAAGAAAAGTTGGTAAATTAAACCAAAATGATGCCTAGAACTCGAGCCTAAGAACATTTACCTGGGAGAAAATAAAACTGTAATCATTTGGAACCCCTCCCCCAGGTAACCTAAATGGTAAAAAGAGGACATTTTAAATAGTGAAACATCTCACACTGGGGTCACCATTTTATGGGTGAATCCACAACGCTTCTTTGCTAACAGTAGCTGTAGGCAAAATCTGTTTAATGAAATTGATTTCAATCAGTATCCCATTAAAAGCTTTTTCCAAAAGCTGACATTTCAGATGTGCGTCAAAGCTTCATGAGCACAGTCCATTTGCACTATGATTGCAACACCTTCTACCAGCTGCCTATGTATGCAGATGAGTATGTACAAAGGCAGCCTGACACTAGGAGAAATGGAGGTCTGTGCATGTTTCTCATATCTCTGTCCAGCAATCCATCATCCGCACCATGCAAATTACTCATGCTCCAAACACAAGTAATTTGCAACAGGCAGAGAGAGCAGAAGTAACAGGGAGAATGGAGACATGCTCAAATGTCTCATTCTCTCTTATGATCTGTTGCACTGCCAGGGTAGGCAGAGAGGGCAGGAAACAGAACTCTATCAAGACCTTTGGGAAGCTTCCATGCATGGGCTCTGTGCTTATGCTGGGTAATGCCCTATTTCATGAAAAACAAAGCAGGTGAACCAAAGGAATGCTGGTACATATTAGTTCTACAGAAACAAAGTTACATGGTTACTTTAGTCGAATGGTAATCATTACCCCCAAATTGACAAATATGCTACTTTGAAGAAGAAAATTACATACACACTATTGCTGCCCAATGTAAAAAACAAAACAAAACAAAAATATTTTTAAAATATCTACTTACAGTGATGAAGCAAGAGAATCATAATAAAATATTTGTCAGAAATTGGAGTTAGTTGGACTAGTATCCCATTGACTGAACAGTTAAAGTTGATTCAGTTGTGCCCTTTGCATCATGATTGGAGCAAAGCAAGAAAATAGATAAATTTTAATACATTTGGACTGGGTATAATGGGATAAATCAGGCCAATAATGCTGAAACAAAAAATGCTTCAGGATGGTCATATACTGGAGATATATCATAAAAAGCTTGCTTACACCTGTATCTTTTCCTTTGGGTAAAATCTGTACTTTAATATCAACCAATTTAAGAATTTTGTTTAGTAATCAAACTTGCCTTGTTTATGCTAATCAGAAAAGAGAGGTAGGAATAACTCTAAAACCAAAGTATCAAAGCATGCATTTAAATTTAAATGTGATACCTCCAAACCAACAATAAAGCAGAAATGACATTCAATTTCAGCAGTAACAAATCTAATATTTGTAAATAATTCAGTATAGAGAATATAGTTTAAAGAACATTTTATATAAGTGTGCTTTTTCCTATAAATTTTCTTTTGCTTTGTTTAAAAAGTCTATTGTCTGTAAATATGAAAGGGGAGATCAGTATCAGTCCCATTCTATTTCTCCATTAGTTGCAGTGAACAGCAAAACAGGCTTCAATTCACATTGCTTTGGGCAGTCTTATTTGCTGCTGCTTTGCTATGTTTGAAGCTTAAACAGTTTGGAATTTTTGTGGTCGAACTTTTAGCATAATTTGAATACCAATCCCTTTCAAACACAGCTTTCAGTTGCTTGATGATGCTGGTCTTGTTTCCTGTTTCTGTTTGGTTGATGACAAGGCCAGCTCCAGCATTACGGTTAAAATAGGTCCCAACCCAGTCAAAATTACCTGCAAATAAATGAAAGCACATACAAGGATATGGTAACATTGGGTGTAAGCTTTCTCTAGAACAGCCATTGCTCTTAATCTCACCTTTCTCCATTGAAATGCTTTCCTTTATGCATGTCACTATGCTAAAAGTAGCTGGACCTTACTTTCCTACATGAAGTTTTCAGTGACTCACAAGTATGGTGAGAGGGTGATGGATACTGTTATATATTTCTGATTTTTTGCATTTAACATTTACCAACAAGCCGAAGTTTATCTAATTCTTAATTGTGCAATCAGTTGTTATTTTAGATTTGTACCGTATGTACAAACAACAGCCTGGAATCAGATTATTCAATGCTTTACTTACCAATATAAGCTGCTGTGTCAGTCACCACATATTTGTTGCGATTTAGTTTAGGAAGGGAAGAGTTCTTCTGTTCCTTAAAATAACAAGCACTTTCTTCTTCGAGGTCAAAGAATTTCTGCATTAAAGAATATCAAGATAGTGAAAGAGAATGTGTTGATTGCACTGCAGAAGGAAAACTTAAAGATGATAACATACCGGTTTTGAAAAAGTGAAATTATAGAATAAAAAAAGATCATGAACTAACCTCAGTTTAAAAGGATTTTATAGGAAATGACATGTTTCCTATACCTTTTCTGATTGCATTCTGGAAGATTTCCAAAGAAACTAACAGGTTGCTTTCAAAGGCCTGGTGTCTAATTGCCTACAAGTAATTAAGTAAGTAATGACCTATAGGGAAGGGGGATTGCCTGGGAAACACCTGAAGGCAGTGACAAAGGGAGAAAACTCTCAGCATCAGCATTCTGCAGGTGTACAGCTGCAGGTAAACCCAGAATGTGTGCTGACTACTGACAAACAGAATACTCATACAACCTTCTGGCGTGCGATATCCCACTCCTAGCTCACTGCTCTTCTGGGTTGTACCAGGCATTCTGAATACAGATGTGAAAGAAGAAAAAATATAAATGGATAAATGGTTTAAAGACATTGGTAGGCTGCCACTTGCAAGATTTTTGTTCAGTCAATGTTCTTTATTCTCAGCACCCCTAAACTATAGAGAAAATTGTTTTATGATGGCCACACACTGGCATTTAATACGCTGGAAAATGTATAACACTTGTCTCATTCTGCACCCAAAACTGTGGCTAGACTTAACTATCTGAGGGGAAAGTATCTTCATAAACTGTGGTTTGAAGACGGCTTGTTTCCCTCAGTCATAGTTAACCCTAACCACGGTTTGAAAGGTTTCAGTCATAAGTACAGTTAATTAAAAACAGAATTGAAAGCTTCTAATTTCCTCCTTGTGGCTATGCTAGATAAGGAGAGTGGGAAAGCAACAAGTCCAAGGGCATTCATATCAAGCAGCATTATGTCTGAATGAAGCATGTGTGTATTACGCAGAAAGGAAGCAAGGTTCTGAGGAAGCTTCTCCCTTCATGTAATTAAGAAAAAAGGTGTAAAAGCTGCACAGAACATTTCTGGACCCAAGAAATACTTGTGAACCCAATATTTTTCAGCGATATGCTGTTCTTCAGAGCAATTTATATTATCAGCATTAATGAAAAGAGGCACATATCGGAGCCACAGAGTATGGAATTGTCAATACGAAAACTAAGTGCAATCTAAGCAGAGAAGGTGCATTGAATGGGTGAGATTGCCCATTGTTAGACAGAGGTATTTGGCACTAGTCTGCTATTATTGTTTTATGTTGACAGAAAATAAGATACTGTGTTACACTTTAATAATCCGCTTCAAAATGTAATTCAGTTATTTGAAGTCACTAGGCAGCTGAACAAATTTACTTGGAAATTGTTTTAGGTTTATAAGAAACAACATGAGGAATACTTACAACTTTTAACCTACAGCCAGAAACTTCGGTGCAAATTGCTTTAAGAGATGAAACAAAGTTAAATGTGAGTGGATTTGTGTCTTTTGATAAACTTATGAGGAGTCGTACTTTAATATTGCGTAAAATCAGAGCTTCTCTTATCTTTCCATCCAAATATGGCCAATACCTAGGGAAAGAGCATCCAATGTTATTTACATAATTTTTAGAGAAGAAGGATTTGCTAACTCAAGGAAAACTAAAGAAAACAAGAACCTCATCCAGCTGTGTCTACTGTGGTGCAGCAGTTAGCAGAATACAGAGTTCTGCATTATATGAGTGGCGAGGGGACTAGAACTCAAGAAGGATAATTCACCAGCTGCATCATATAGAACTGCCATTAGGAACTCTCTAGGTGGTGAGATACCAGCGACTGAAAGGGTTGGCAAGGAACTTTCCAACTGATAATTATTATTTCGTTTATTTATTTATGAGAATCTCATAAAATAAATTGTCTAGGTGTCATACGAATAAAAACAGAATAAAAATGTATCAATAAAACCATAGTACAGAAAAACCACAATGAGCTTAAGAAACAACCAGTGTGAAAACTGAAATTTGAAAACCAGCACAATAAAATAATCTATGTAGCCACCAAATATATAGATTAAAACTACTATACCATAGGAACTTAAAACCAGATCTTAAAAGACCTGAAAGAAAAGGAAAAAAGTCTTAACTTGGCACAAAAAAAGATAGCAATGTGGGTGTTAGGTAGGCTTTGCTAGGGAGAGAACTCCGTAGCCGAGGGCCACCACTGAAAAAGCACTTATGACAACCTCCAAACTTCTGATTGAGAACTAGTAAGTAACTAGTAAAAATCCCTATCCAATTTTTAGGGGATATATATATAATTATATTATTTATACCCCGCCCATCTGGCTGGGTTTCCCCAGGTACTCTGGGCGGCTTCCAGCAAACTATTAAAATATAATAAAAGGTCAAACGCTGAAAATTTCCCGATACAGGGCTGCCATCAGAAGTCTTATAAAATGTTTGTATTCCTTTATCTCCTTAACATCTGCTGGGAGGGCATTCCATGGGGAGGGCACCACTGCCAATATATATATCTCCATAGCTATAATATAAGAAGGTGCGTAAGCACTGAAATGGGGGAATAGAGGCTGGTAGTTCATAGGGCTCCACAATTTTTCATTGTGCCTGCAGGGAGCAGATAGCCCTTATGTAAGGACTACACACTAAACATGGAAAAATAAATCCTTCTTCCCCAGGTGGTCACCAGTAATAGCAGGTTGTGATGGGGAGATTATGGTACATGCATTGCTAGGATTAAAAACTTATAAATTGTTGGAAGCTTAAAATCCAGTTGTCCATTTTGAATGAGTAACATGCTAGGAAAAAACACTTAATTGAGAACTTAAGCTTGGGAAATAAACAGCATGTCAAATGTTACCTATTTTTCTCTGGCTGTGGAACATTTTTGGCAGTCTGGTGATCTAATCAAAAAGAAAACATTTCCATGTCTTCTGTGGATAAGTATTGGAGAAGCTCAACTATCATCTATTTATTTGTTTGTTTAATGTTAAGAGACCCATATCTAATAAATGATTGTGCTCTTCTCAACTAGTATGCTATTTGAGCAATTTCTGTTCAGGAGCAGACATGATTTGTAACAATTACATTTATATCACTCCCTGCTCTAGATTTGATATTTGCAAACTCATTGACATCCAAGAGAAGAACTGAACTACTGGTCGTTGCCTCATGGAAATCTCTAAATATCTGTCGATTTCAGAAGCAACAGTTTTTATCTCTTGGTACACTGTCAGATAAATGTAGATTTCCGGTATTCACCAACCTTGTTTGATTTGTGATGTTGATAATAGGCAGATAATCCATAACAGCTATGTACACAAATTGCTGTGCATTATCAACAACACTATAGATAGCATCAACATCCAAAACCCTGTCCTTAGGGCATAGGAGTTTGGGAGAATTCTGTGAAGATAAAAAGGCTGAAATTTATATCAGAAGTTGTACAAAGGATATGATTTACTTTTTCATATTTCTTCAGTGGAGAATTAATACAAAAGCTATTACACTTCCTCAATTTTTTAAAAAAAGTTTAGCAGTTACATCCAAATTAATTTAAGGAAGTTATTGTTTGATGTGCCATAGGATTCAGCCCAACCTTTTCAAATATTTATACAACCCTTATCTCTGATACTGAAATGTAGGATCAAGTAGACCCAGCAAAAGACCTAACAGATTTTTTTGTATTCCTTATGTTTTAAACAGACCCCCATAAAGAGCCAGCATGTGTATCCTAATTTTTTGAAGTGCTAAAACAACATGTTACTTCCTGGCATTCCTGCACAGAAGCTACTGCAACCAAACCACTGTCAAAACCCATATTTTTTTCAAATTAGGGCTAACCATCTATATCTGCAGGTACATGTTGAGCAAGATACAGTGGTGCCCCGCAAGACGAATGCCTCGCAAGACGAAAAACTCGCTAGACGAAAGGGTTTTCCGTTTTTTGAGTCGTTCCGCAAGACGAATTTCCCTATGGGCTTGCTTCGCAAGACGAAACGTCTTGCGAGTTCTTGCGAGTTTGTTTCCTTTTTCTTAAAGCCACTAAGCCGCTAAGCCGTTAATAGCCGCTAAGCCGCTAATAGCCGTGCTTCTCAAGACGAAAAAACCGCAAGACGAAGAGACTCGCGGAACGGATTAATTTCATCTTGCGAGGCACCACTGTAATGATAGTTGTTGCTGTTGAAAGCCATTGTTCTATGAAACTTGAAAAATTTATTGTTGGCTTAATGCTACTGGCAAGCTAAACCTTCAACGCTTATGTTACATTTTCCATTGTGTTACTTTTTTTTTTTAGGTTCTATCCATTTCCTTTCTTTCTTGTCTGCAAAAATTATACCCAGTCTGGCATGTGTGGTGTGTGCCATAGCTATATCACTGTTACACCCTGGCTGTCTGTGTGATAATAATGCAATAATAAATAATTCAAACAGTAAAGTCATTAATACTGAAAAGCAGTCAGCAGCTTCCACGACCTTACACAGAAAGTACATGTTCTTTTGTATTTATCAGAGAGATGATTTTCTGTTGCTTAGCAACTATACCACAATGGCTGCTGAAGATAGAGCACCCAGACTTAAAATTGCAGGCACAAAGCATAAAAGGAGAAAGAGGTAGTCAAGACATACAAGGTAAAATACTCTTGCTGGCATTCTTTACCACATGATAATGTATGCACACTGTTGGTGGGTTTTTTATCCAGAAATGTGTTCTCTAGTGGCTATGAGCTGTCCTGTATATTAACAGCAAACTTCTTAGCCCCATGTTAGGTGAGAGATTCCTGTACTGCAGAGGGTTGGGCTAGAGCAGGCATCCCCAAACTCGGCCCTTCAGAAGTTCAGAAGTTTCCCATCATCCCTGACCACTGGTCCTGTTAGGTAGGGATGATGGGAGTTGTAGTCCCAAATCATCTGGAGGGCCAATTTTGGGGGTGCCTGGGCTAGAGGATCCTCGTGGCTCCTTCCAAGTCTATAGCTCTGTAATTCTACATGTGGATACAGTCGTACTTGGAATTCGAATGGAATCCATTTCAGAAGTCCGTTTGACTTCCAAAACATTTGGAAACCAAATTGTAGCTTCTGATTGGCTGCAGGAAGTTCCTAGGCTGTTCGACTTCCAAGGTACGACTGTACTTATGCAGCCACACTAGCACCATCCTCACATAGGAGGGTGATATCAGCAGGCTTGAACTTGCAGAAATACAAAACAACTCAATTAGGTTTTCTTAAAAAAAACCTTAAAAATGTTTTTGAAATGGACAAATTTAAAAACCTTCTGTATAACAGTAGGTACCAAATTGGCCCCCGGGAGACTATTGGAGCAGTCAGTCATAAATAAATAAATAGATAGATAGATAGATAGATAGATTTAAATCAGTGTGCTAACCTGTGGCCATGAGGTTTTTAATACTCTCTCTCCATGCCTGAATCATTGGCTTGTAAAAAAAGGTTAATTGGGTTCTGAAGGGAGTAGGATGTGGTTAGTTTGTGTGTTACACATCACACATTTCATTCTTCTTAAGCACATTTTAGCAAGGCAGCTGTAGATTGGAATTGTGGACAGCTTCTAAATAATAAAAATATAGACTGCGTCAGAGATCAGTGGCAGCCAAGTTCTAAGGCATTGATGGGAGCCAGTCAGATGTTATTTAAGAGGACATGTGAAAATATTAATTCAACCTGAACTTACATAGGGCTTTAACACCTCAACCTGTCTAAAAATAATATAATAAAGAGCACAAGCACACAAAGCCAAAGGAAACCAACACAAACGCAACTCACCGAAACAAAGACTTCTGATTTGGTTTCGTTCAACTCAAGGGCCAGTTTATTTTCAGTGCCGTATACTGCATACAGTCTCTTAGACCAAAGAGGTGGGATTTTGCTCTTGGATTTTAGTGAGCTGTACAAGGCAAATATCTTTTGTAAATCTAACACCAGGCAGCTGCAGTTGTATACAATGACTCCAAGCTCTTTCATCTGTGAAGGAGAAGTGCATATAATTGAGAGCACATTGCCCAGCAAAAATATCTCAACTGGTCAACATAATTTCGTTAGAAGTTCATTACTCTGAGTAGATAGTCTCAAGTGTGATTGCCCCTGTGCAAAATAAATGCATTATTAGGCCAGCACCTTACTGTAAAGAAGTTTCAAATATATTGTTAATATTGTAAGTATTCTTCATGAATGGCTAACACATTCTGTGTTGATAATGTGGGAGTCCTGGTTTAACAAAGTAAATCTTGGGACACAACACAAGTATTTGATTTTTTTGAAAGTTAAATTTATATCCAGTGAAACATGGTGTAAGAAAGAAAATTTTCTACACATCACTAATATAATAATAATAATAATAATAATGTTTATTAATAATTGCATATTACTCATTGCCTAGTCCTTTATATCCTCAAAACTACTGCTCTTTATGAGAATCAACTTGGTTCAACTTGATATTCACAGCTGAATATCATGTACTAACATCAACTTCAATATCTACTTTATATTTCCTGGGGGAAAGTACTGTTTGCTTTTCTTAGCCTAAGTCTACTGAAAAAATCCTGTTCAATATAAATATGAATGCAAAATGTTTTTATTTTTCCTGCTACCTACTGTGATTGGAGTAAAAACCCCAAGGAAGTTGAATATATTAATATAAATATCAGCTAATGTTTCATCTGTGTACAGCTGCACAGTATATTACTTTAATTTAAGTAATAAATATGTATTATTTTCCCCTTGTAGCAGCTAGATTGCATTTTTAGTCCTTTCCTTAGATTTACTGTAGCTTTACACTACTCTGTTTTATTGCTGTGGTTACATCCCACATATATTGCTATGCTGCATTTTCCACAACAATTTTTGCAAATACTTCCAAACTAGGGTTACCTGATGTCCCCGGTTCCCGGGGACATTCCCCGAATTTGCAGATCTGTCCCTGGACAAATTCCGTCCCCGGAATGTCCCCAGATTTGCAAATCTGTCCCCAGGAAACGTGGCAGCGGCAGCCTCAGCAGCCCGGAGCCAGCCTGGTAGTGCAGTTGGCTCTGGCTGACTTCAGGAGCTGCTCGCTGCCGCGGCGCCCACCATTTTTCTTGCACCACAGCAGCGAGCAGCGAGCAGCTCCTGAAGCCAGCTGGAGCCAACTGCACTACCAGGCTGGCCCCTCCTGGGCAATGGCCGGCCGCCCGTGACTCGCGAGCCTCCCTTGATCTGTCAAAACAATGGGGGAAGGAGATTGGGGCAGGCTCAGGAGTCACGGGCAGGCGGCATGCCGTTGCCCAGTTTTTTAAAAAAACTGCGCATTTATGTTTCACAGGGTGCGAAAGAAAGGTTTGCACTTTTATACAATATGCATGTGTGCTTGGGCCTAGGGTCTTTTGCCTCACCATCCCCACTACTACTCAGCTTCAAAAAAAAAGTAAAAAGTGTCCCCGGATTCATTGAAAAAAATCTGGTAACCATATTCCAAACACAAGAAATACTGTAAGACGTCATCTTCATGCACTTAGAGAGAGCCAGGGATTGTTAACGCATTGCTAACGGGCCATATACTCCCCCAGGCTTTCGCAGCCTACCCTTTTTGTTGGTGGGGCAGAGTTTTGTCAAGTTTTTCCACTGACTGTTATGTTCCCCATTCCACCACTATGATGCTGATGTGTTCCTTTTTGGGGGGAGGTGTCGCACGTTGCCCTAAAGTCCACTAAAAGTTGATGGAAGAAGCGGCACCACCCTGACTTTTCTGCTTTTCAATCTTTAGGCATGAGCACATTCACAAAAAAATCTGTTCAAAAAAAGAGCGCATATCCCATTAGCAGTGGCTCCATTTCCAGTGCTTCATACTTCTGAGTCCACAAGACAATGACTGGAAGAAATTGTATCTCTTGCGGGACATCAGACAACTGAATATGAGAGATGAAAATACTGTAGCTACAAAAAGAGAGAGAAAGAGGTTGGAGGGAGGGATGCTGGGAACTGGGGGGAAGAAAGGAGGGGCTGTAATTCTATTGTAATTCTGTGAAAACCCTAATAAGCCATAGATAAAAAGAAAGGAAGAAGGGAAATGTGATGACTTGTAGCTGAAATCAAAACAGGGAGAGAACATCAGCTTAAAAATCACTTGAAATAATTTATTGGTAATAATCCTAGGGGTGGCAGGTCCAGACTGTGGCCTAAGTCCTACAGAAAGGTAGGCTTGCTTAGGATCATTGAAAACAATGGGTTTAAGGATGTCTAGCTCATGTTGAACTTGGGTCTGTACTTTTAAAAAATCGCATAGAACAGAAAATTTCAGAAAGTCTAACATCTCCTAATTACAATAACAGGAAAAGCCAAATCTGGTGGAATTTTTCTTTTATGCAACTCATTTTATGCAAGCCAACTCTTCTATGCAAGCCTGTCCAGACATGTGCTTTATTTTTCTTTAGCTATTGTTTATTTTTATCATCTTTTGAATATTTTTACATACCTGTTTTTATAGATAATTTTAATGCTCTTATGTTTTTTTTTGAAAACCTATCAGAGGTTTTTTTGCAATCATGTGGCACATGAATGCTGCCAATACAACTTGTAGTAGACAAGCCGATCTCTCATTTCATAATTCTAATTCTAATTTCAGAACTGGAATGGAGCCATCCATCGTGAGAATGATATAATGCTTGCATTATTTAAAAATTTAAGCACTGTCTAATTATAGTCCTTTGAAATACTGTATGAGGGATTAATGGCCACAATTATGAAAACCTCACTTCCAACTTCACAGTTACCCTGGCATTAGGAAAAATACATAGTTGTGCAGTCCATGATGGATAGGGCCTAGTCTATGGTTGGAATCCAAAAGCTCTTGAGTAGGGAGTGTCAACTGGGCAGAGGTGTCCCTCCATCCAGACCTGCTAGCCACCGCCTACAGAGTGAAACCTGTGTGACTCTTCTAGCACAGAGGTTTCCCTTCTGTCCATCGAAACAGGATATTCCAGGGAGGAACAGGGAGGAACAGGTGTTCCCCAGGTCAGGTTGGGATCTTGGGTTGTAGGCAGTGCTGTGCCTAGTCCTAAAACTAGCAGATTACAATAACCATTCATAAATCTGTTGTCGTTATTTAGCATACCAATGCAATGCCACATATTTTAAACTAGTATAATGAATAAACTAAACTGATCAAGCAATATAGCAATGACCTGGTTATAATTTCAAGGCACAGGATCTCCACTGTTGTTCAAAGCCTTGTTATTATTGTTTTTATGTTGTTATAGTACAGTATATATATAGTTTTTTTACTGTAAACCATCCTGTGATCTTCAGATGAAGGGCAGCATAGAAATTAAATAATAAAGAAAGAAATAAAGAAATTTGGTAGTTTGTCTTTCCAAAACTGGAAAACAGGCATTGATGTGTGAAATTATCATAGTCATACTGGATCAAATTCCAGCATAACAGCATCCCAAGTGGAAATGTGAAAAAATAGTTCCTTTCAATCCCAGTGTTATTTGATGTACAGTAAAAGAACTTAATTCAGCTGACTGTCATTAATGTCCTATCTTAAAAGAGCCAGCTGGGCCTTTTCATAACTTCAAAAAAACTCATTAGCTTCAAAACAGTAAAAGACTGATACAGTGTTCTTTTCACCATATATATTTCTGTAGTGATAAGATGCAGCTCTCTTGAACAGAACAAATCTTGCCTTGGCTAACAAATCTTATTGTAAACTCTGGCTTGGAAACATTATAGAGAGATGAATTGTTTTGTATATTTATAACCGGCCCTGTTCCATAAGCTCAAGAGGTTTTTACTTGGTGCCACTTGTGCTCGGTCACATGTGAGACTTCATGCTAAAGATGAAGTGATTATTTGTTGAAGGAAACTTTATTTGATAAGTTGAGTCAGAGCATATAATAAAGCTCGCACAAAGCAAAATCAGAGTCCAACTCATTTCCCAATTTTATAGTCACCAAGCAACAACACTGGAGGAAACATGGATCCTTCTATTAGAAGAGATCAGAAAACTTTGATTTCTATAGTAGTCTATAGTAGTATACAAGCAGATTTTCTAATGGCATATGCAACCTGTACTCCTCTCAAGCATGGCTAATTCTCAAAATACAGGGCCCTTGTGAGTGTTTATAGCTCCTGCAGCTTTCTTGAGGTTTGTAGGCAGCCAGAAAAAATGAGACTCTACTCATAATGGCAAAAGAGAGCCTTACATCAAATAATAATAATAACATACACTAAAACCACCCCTTCATTCTAATTGCATGGAAAATTAACAAAAGAAGGCACTGCTTTAGATCATCCTTCCATTTCAGGACAGTGAGTCAATATAAAGAACAAGGAGATGTAGATGGAGGAGTTGATGAGGCACCACATCACTGAGTAGTGAAATATGGTTAACTAGTAAAAACATAAATCTTTACGAAGACAATTACGTCAAGGCATGGTCTGATGTTAAAAGGAATATGGAGATTTGGAGCAAATTAAAACTATCTTTTGGGGTGCGTATTTTGGCTGTTAAACTAAATATTTTGCCAAAGATGCTTTTTCTGTTCCAATCCATTCCTGTTATAGGGAAAACAAGCTGCATTGAAAATTGGCAGAAGGAAATATCTTAATTCATCTGGTCAGGAAACAGACCAACAATAAAACATACACTCCTTATAGATCTTAAAGAAAGAGGGGGATTCAGCCTGCCCGACCTAAAACTATATTATGAAGCAGCCTGCTTTTGTTGGATAAGAGATTGGTGTCAGCTTAAGAATAACGATGTGTTAGATCTAGAAGGGCATGACAACCGTTTCGGTTGGCATGCATATCTAAATTATGATAAGGCTAAAGTGCACAAAGGTTTTACCGACCATATAGTAAAAAATGCCTTAGTTAGGGTTTGGGAAAAATGTAGAAGATTAATGGAACCCAAAACCCCTAGATGGATTTCTCCATTGGAAGCAAAGACTGTAAAGAAGAAAAATATGAAAGGAAGCTGGCTAACATATAACTCATTATTGATAGAAGAGGGTAACCAAATTAAGCTTAGCTGATCTTTGATTTCCTCATATTTCATATCAGGTTGGTTGGAATATCATCAACTCCACAAAACATTTAAACAAGACAAAAAGAATGGATTCTCTAAAGAGCCCTCCAAATTTGAAAAGGAATTAGTAAATAATAAAATTAAGATAATATCAAAGATGGAGCAAATCCTTCTGGACTGGAAAGTCAAGAAGGAGGAGGTCAAGGAAGTCATGATTAGGTGGGCTCAAGATATTGGTCGCCCTATATTGCTGAGTGAGCGGGAAAATCTTTGGAAAACAACTATGAAATTCACAGCATGTTATAACATCAAAGAAAATATGCTAAATATGCAATATAGATGGTACCTCACCCCATCAAAGCTCTCTAAAATGTACAAAAACATCGCAAACAATTGTTGGCGATGTGGGGAAAGTAATGGAGACATGTATCACATGTGGTGGACATGTAGAAAGATTAGAGAGTTTTGGTGTCTTGTTTATGATGAGCTGGGGGGGAAAATGGGTTAACCTTTCTAAAAAAGCCAGAGGCCTTTTTACTAAGCATCATAGGCAATGACATTCCGAAAAATTTAAGAGAAATATTTTTATATGCCACAGCAGCAGCCCGAAAATTGATAGCAATGAACTGGAAAGGGGAAAATGCTCCAACTATAATGGATTGGGAAAACAAGTTACAGGAATATGTAGAAATGGTGCAATTGACTAACAGCTTGAGAGGCAACACAAGGTGAGCATTCGTGCAAAAATTGGAAAAATATAAGAGTTATTTATGAAATCACAACAGTGGTATAAAGTCTATGGCAGCATTTGATTGACCCTGGATTAATGAAATATAAATGAAATAAGTCAAAGGTTAAGTACTGTTCTAAGAATGTATTAGAAAGGAAACAAAGGATAAGCTAATAATGTTAGGTATATTCATCATCAGAAAGAAAATACACATCGGGGAATGATAGGAAGTCCAGTTATGTGGGTTTTTTTGTTTTAATCTATGTTAATAAATAGAGAAGAAAACAAGAGACAGTAGAAATATAAATTACCGTAAGTTTATTGTTTGTTAACAAATGGAGTATTACTTGTATAGGGCTGTTGTTTTGTTTCTAAGATTTATACTCATGTCTAAATAAGATGTATACTATATTTGTTGTATAAGATTGTCAATAAAGTATTAAAAAAAGAAAATAGTGAAAATTCATTCGCCTATTCACAGCTCTGTACAATCTTACTCAGAGGTCCAGGACCCTTGTCCTGGTCAAATAGGAAGCCTCTATTTGTGGTTGCTACTAATGAAGATAAGCAACAGCCAGCATTCATACCTCAACCAGGGAACTTGATCAAGAGTCATCTCATCTCAGAAGTCTGGAGAATATCAGAAAGAATAGGAGAGACTCTTACTGTTTTTATTTTCTCCAAAGTGCAATGCAAATCAAAACTTGAGCAGGGATGGGTAAGGAATGTGAGCTATGGAGTATTCTTTTCACCAAATAGTCTGGGGCACTTGCCCCTGGTTGAATATATTTGTTGACCATGCTCTTACTACCCCCAGATCTCCTCCTGCAATGTCAGCTCCTCGCTTGCCATGACTTCTGATTCTGCTCTTCAGCCAGTCCATATGCCCAGACCACATGTGGGTTCCAGGACAGCCCCCACTGGGGAATCATGCTTTACTCTGTATCATGTTAAAACTGCTTTGCAGCCTAATTAGCAAATCAGTAAGCTGCATTAGCTCCTTCTTTGGTTTTGCTAGAATGCAATATACAGGCTAGTTAGAACGAAAGGATTCACTTCTGTTACATCTCCAGGGGAGAGGCTAGAATGATAGAGGATAACTTCCCACTCCAGCTGCATGGGAAGAGACAGATTATTGGCACTCACCCAATGAGAGATACCATATTTAAGTCTAGAGTTTTCTTTAAAAATTGCCCACTGCTTACAATTTAAACTATTGCTTCTGACAGGAATTTCAAAAAAGGAACAGAATGAAATACATTCAGATACAGAGATGATTTGATAAAATCTCCTGTTATTCAGAACACTGCAGTATAGTGCGCGACAAATACAAAGTCAAAGAGCACTATTCAGCATGTTACTGCAACCAACAAACATTACTGAATGGGTTGTTTTTCACACATGAATACATCTGAAAACAAATGCTGATCAATAAGAATGGTTCCTTGTGGGATTTTAAGATGCCAAAAATACAAGCGCAATTTCCAGTTTTTTAAAATCACGTAACAGGTCTTTTCTTTAAATCCATCGGATCCTTACTCCTGCATATTTTCTGTAAAACTGTGTAAGTTTAGCATGCAAAGCACAATTTTCAAGAACATTCTTAAGGAACAAAGACATTTGCATCAACACAATACAGATAAAGACTTGAAATGCCACCCCTAGACCACAGACTGTACTTAATTTACTGCCACAATGCAATATGTCATAATTAGAACAAATTGGGAACTAGTATCGTTTCCACTAATTACAATGTTTCTCAGTTTTAGCTGGGTAAAGAAGCAATAGCTCATATGTTCTGCCATAAATAAGAACAATGTCCTAGAACACAGCTAAGTGCCAAACAGTTTAAAATAAATAACCAGTGCAGTGAAGAGGGGCTGAGCAGGACTGGGCCCATTAGCTAAAATGGTACCTCAGGTTAAGAACAGTTTCAGGTTAAGAACAGACCTCCAGAACGAATTAAGTTCTTAACCTGAGGTACCACTGTACTAAAGTCTGTCCCTGCTGAGAGCCCCTCTGACTGAAGAGCAAGATAAAAAATGCTCTAAATGAATAAATAAATTGAAAGTACCTGCCACAGTGACTTCCATTCTAAACTGGCACTTCCAATGTATACATGCTGCCTATCCACAATCCAGAATGATGTCTGCAGATGGCCATCATTGTAAGCCGTCATGTTTATAAAAATCACTTCAGCACCTAAGGAATACAAGAACATAACAGTTAAAGTTGTGCATAAGGAAACAAACAAACAAAAAAAAGCTTACATAGTCAATCACTTCTGAGTTTAACAAGGCCATCTTAAGCATGGAGTTCAGTGGAAGTGGGCTTAGGAAGGCATACTCAGAGATGCAGTCCAACACTGTGCATGTTCACCATGTTCAGTGGGCCTTGTTCCCTTACAGGAACTTTATAGCTACATTTATTATCACAACTTTCTAGCTACATTTTGCAGTGTAGGGTAAGGTAGGTATCTGGGAATCTTGTCAAAAGCAAATAATTTTAATAGTCATCAGCTACAGCTCTTCAGAAGCATGAGCTGAAGTAATAAGAGCCCTTCCGGAAGGAAAGTTGGCTAGACAGAGACAGAACTACCTGGTCATTAAGAACCACACACTTTCTTTCCAGTTCTTTTTTGTGCAGTGGTCCATGTCCAGTCAGGAAATTAGTTTTTAATCTCTCTAAATCCATTTTCTTGCAAGACTTAGAATGAGGAGGAGGCAGTTCCTCCTCTTGACAGGCACCACAAATTTCTCTGCTGATCCCTAGCCTGGATGGTACATGTGTATAAAGGACAGGGGTAGGCAACCTAAGACCCGGGGGCTGGATGTGGCCCAATTGCCTTCTCAATCCAGCCCATGGATGGTCCGGGAATCAGCGTGTTTTTACATGAGTAGAATGTGTGCTTTTATTTAAAATGCATCTCTGGGTTATTTGTGGGGGATAGGAATTTTTTCATCCCCCCCCCCCCAAAAAAATATAGTCCGGCCTACCACATGGTCTGAGGGACGGTGGACTGACCCACGGCTGAAACAGGTTGCTGACCTCTGAGAAAGGACATTTCTTATGCAGAACTGGTGAAACTAAACCCCATCAAAGGCCATCTACTGACATTATTTACAGTGTCAATTGTAAATACATTAACTACAATAGCTACAATAACTAATATGCAAAGATTTCAATGTTTAATTAAGGAAAACTGGGTTAGATTGAACTATGCTTCCTAGAAACCTTTAGAACAAGGTGATTAACTCAAAGCCTGTAGGCCACATCTGCACCCAAAGGCTTTTTGTAGCCTCTAAGACTATCCCAACTGCATTCTTTTTTAAAAAACAAAACAAAATTGCCATATTTTTCACCCTATAGGACGCACTTTTTCCCCTCCAAAAATGAAGGGGAAATGTGTGTGAGTCCTATGGGGTGAATGCAGGCTTTCGCTGAAGCCATCCCCCCAGCCCAGCAAGCTCTGGGAGCGATGGTGAAGCTGCGCGCAACTTCGCCATTGCTCTCGGACCCGTTTTGGGGGCTGGGGTCGGGGGAAGCTCAGGCTTCCCCCGCCCCCAGCCCCGCAAGCTCCGGGAGTGATGGCAAGGTTGTGCAACCTCGCCTTCACTCCCGGACCCCCAGCCCCGAGGCTAAAAACGAAGCCAGGATAGCGAGTGGGATCCATCCCGCTCACTGTCCTGGCTTCTTTGCTCTTTGGGGCTTGGGGGGGGGAATAAAATATTTTTCCTTTATTTCTCCCCCCCCCAAATAAGTGCGTCCTATGGGCCGGTGCGCCGGTGTGCCCTATAGGGCGAAAAATACGGTAACCACTTCTGTTTGTCCCTTACTATAATGCCATATTCATAAATGGTTCCTTGTGGCAACTCAATTAAAAATATAATAATATTAATTAATGAGTGCTCCTTTTGGTCTCCTGCTGTGATTCTGTGATTGTATACCAGCAGAATATTTTTGTTACTCCTCCAACCCCCTTCAAAATGTGTCATATATAAAACATTATTTAATTCAACAATGCACAATTCCCTTAGAAATATATAAAGAATTAATATCTGTTATCTGCACCAGGGGAGTTGGACTAGATGACCCTCAGGATCTCTTCCAACACTACAATTCTATGATTCTGTGATCTTAATAATAAACTAAATGCGTAAGGCAGACAAAGCATCTCCCTATTGGAACTAGCCTGCCAACTTTTTTTTCCTCAGAGGAACAGGGAAAAGTAAGACATTGTCCCCATTGGAATCATTGAAACCCCTTGTGGATTGTTCTGCTCGTCCCCCTGAAAGCAGTTACTCACACAAGCCATCCCAGCCATATTAAGATCTTCCCACTCTGCATTTTGTAAGATGATTTTCTACACACACAAATGACATGGCCTCCCACCTATAATTCTCTATTCCTAGGAATACTTGAGAATCAAACCGTCAAGAGTTTGAGACACTGTGTTATTCTTGCCTTGCGCTTAGTCAATATGGCTAGAAAAAATATTCGCAGTGCAGTTGAAGGTAATTCAGTTGCAGATGCTTTATACAGTGGTACCTCGGGTTACATACGCTTCAGGTTACATATGCTTCAGGTTACAGACTCCGCTAACCCAGAAATAGTACCTTGGGTTAAGAATTTTGCTTCAGGATGAGAACAGAAATCATGCTCCGGCGGCGCGGCGGCAGCAGGAGGCCCCATTAGCTAAAGTGGTGCTTCAGGTTAAGAACAGTTTCAGGTTAAGAACGGACCTCCGGAACGAATTAAGTACTTAACCCAAGGTACCACTGTACTATGAGAGCTCAGTATGTTTACTTAGAGTCACACATTACGGATTTCATGGAACTTACTTTATAGTATGCGAGTTTAGTATCATTGGGTCTTATTAGAGGTAGCAACTAATAAAGAAGTGCAGGGGTTTTTTAAAATATCTTTACAAGAAACAGAGTACTGTATTGGCCCGAATATAAGCTGCACCCGAATATAAGCCACACCTTTAAAATTGGAAGGGGGGAAAGAAAAAAAGAAAAAATACCCAAATACAAGTTGCTCCATTCCTCACTGCTCCTGGCTGCATACTGGGCAGGCGGGTAGGGGAGCCGCACTGTCTGGCGGCCTTTCCCCTTCATTGCTCTCTCCCTTCGCAGCCTTGGGGGAGAGGGCAGGGGACTAAGCCTCACTTTAACTTTTCACAGTGGGATTTTGGGGGAAAAGTGAGGCTTATATTCAGGCCAATACGGTATATATATAAAAAGTAGATTAATTGCTGACAGAAGAACCATTTCATATTGGATATTTTCCAGTGGCACAGAGCTAAAGCAGCTCATCTCCAGGCATTTTAAGCTTCCTTCTTAGCTTTATGCCAAATGTCTGGAGGTGTTCCAGAAGTTCCATTAGTGCAAACCCTCTGCATTCAAATGTGGTTAAGTGTAAAATGGAGGGATGCACAAGTCAATAATACAAGGCTACGTATTTTACTGCACATCTGACTCAAACGTCTAAACTGAAAAATGGCCTGTTTTTGTGTTCTTCAGGAATGCAATATTTTAAAAAAGAGAGGTCCTGGCAAGAATGATTTCAGACTCAAGGAAAGTCCAGCAGGACATTCCCAACATGTGACCTGCAAGGAGTGGAGCAATGGATCCACTGTTGCATCTAAAGCCATGACAGCTTGCGCCAGCCCCCCAAGGAGGAAACGCCTAGAAAAGCAGGGAGGGTTTCTATGCCAGCTTCAGGGCTCAAGGACTGAGCCACTGGCTCCCCACAACTCTCTCTTTGATGGTCTACTGCCAGTAGCAGAACTGGTAGTAGCAGCTCTCCACCACTGGAGGGAAATTTACTTGCCATTTTAACACCTGACCATTGAAAGGGTGTGGAGAGGTTAGACTGCTTCCAGTCTCTGCTACACAAGCATGTGAAACCCACAGAATAAGCAACTTTCAATATTTCTGATCCTATCTTAAAATTTACCTTTTTTTTTTAAAAAAAGGAACGTTTTAACTTATTTTCCTCCCTTCCAACATATATACTCACCACTTTCAGCTTAACATTTAGTTTCATTTATTTTTCCATACCCTTGGGTCTCGTTCTGTATGGTGGTTCCTCACCTTTTGCCAAATTTTATTAAAAATAGCTCAAAAACTGTCTTTTTAAAGATTTTCCCAAAAAAATCCTTTTGTGTCTGGATTTTCACTTTTTGAAATATGGCAACCTTACCAATACCCTCACTTAACGATTATTGATGTATATTCTTCAAAATATCAACAATTTTGCAAAAGAGGTGAAGGGGTTTCAGCCATGCATTTGCACAGCCACTATAATAGTGTAATTATACAATTTGACTTGCATTTTATTTATTTTTCTATTAAATTTTTTAAAAATGCCATAATTCATAGCATTTGGAGAGTTTATGTGAGTTAACGTTACCTATTTATGTTGCAAAGTTGCACTAAAAATCTACGGTATACCGATCTGTAAAAATGCTTTTAAAAGGTAATATAGCTCTCAATGCAATTTTCCATTGACGATGGATGGCGTCACATTTTTATAACACATTTTTAACATTTTAACTGACTGGTGTAGATTAGTCCTAGGTGGTGGTAGTGAAAAATACTGCTACTTTTCCAAATCTCAGATTGCATCATCATACTCAATTATTTTGTCTTTTGTTGGAATGCCACTGAAACAACTACTGGTAACTCATAACGTGTGCATTTAATGTGTGCACATTAAGCTATACACAATCGGCAAAAAACAAATAAAAAGGAGCCGGAAAGGGAGTGGGTGTCCAGGAAAAGAAGCCTTGGCAATTCCACCTTCCATTGAACCCAATGGGTTTTGACTATACATTACTTTGGCTTTAGGCACTATCCCGGAACATGACTCCAGCATAAGCTGAGCGTTGCCTGTACAGTTATAAGGATGCTCTTGATGGCTTCTGTCAACTTTGCTTAACAGAAAATTATGCTCCAAGGAACTGACTACATTTGTTGCTCATGCATTTCAGACAGCAAAGCTATTAAGTGTGTCAATCAAAACCTTAAATAGAACATCTATGAAAATCTGCCCACATTTTATTGCATATCTGTTTACAGAAAACAAAATCAAAGCTTTGAAAAATGTAACTAAAACTTGGCTCCCATACATACGACTGCCCCATTTCTTAATTTGGTACCAGAAAATCCTGCT